GAGAATGGTGTTCGCGAAAATATTCTGCCTCCTATTGAACAGGTTTCTGGAATTGATTTTGTTTTTGCTTGTTTCTGATTCTTGTATGTATTCTAGTGGTATTTGTCTATTAGTGATTGAATGATTAATATAAAAAATTTCTATGGCTTACGTAGATACGAAGAATTTCCAAGATTTTTAACATTTTGAGTAGTATGTTTTCTATTAATGAGTTAATGACAACAGTGCTTCATTTTTATATTCTCCTTCTTTGCTTCCGTATCCTTGTTTTTGCAATTGGAGATATATGGCCTGCTACCCTGGGGCGAAGCCTTTATCAACTTCTTTTGGCTGATGTGAGCTGGCCACTAAAAACACTTTCTTTGGTTTCAAGGAAGCAATTGACATTTTGGCAATGGGAAAAACTGGATAACAATCTTTCTCTTTCATTTATCTGCTCTTTTGGTGTTTTAGTTGCAGTATTAATGACTTTTCTGTTTACTGGCTAGATTTCTTATAGTTCCATTGTTGAATGCATTATTTGCAGGAGATCTCTGATGAATTAGATACAAAGGTGAAGAAATATCTTAGAGGAGAGGGTGCTAATTTGGAGGTAGGACATTGCTAATTGAGATTTCTATACACGTGAATTTGTTTAGGATTTCTGTATCATAAGCTCTCCATTTTTGCAGGTTTTACAGGACAAAAAATTAAAGGGTCAACTTGCTGTTAGAGAAGAATTATTTGGAAAATCTGCCAAAGCTGCTGCCAAAGTTGAGAAGGTAATTTTTTTTTTTTTCTTATCTGATTTGTTAGCCTATCGTAATCATTTTCTTGCTTTCATTGAAACATAAGCTCAATTTTTTTTCCAGGATTCTATGTTAACAATGTATATATGCTGTTAAAAATCAAATGTCACTTTCCTCTAAAAGAAATATTCTAGATTTTACAAGTTTGTACCTTTTTTTTAATCCTCCAAATGGTAATCCATTTTCGTTGTCTCAATAATTCTTGATTTGTGGTTCTGTACTTCAGTGGCTTTTGCCCAGTGAGGGAGGCTATTTGGAAGCTGAAGGAATAGAAAAGACATGGAGAATCAAACAGGAATCAATTGCTCGTGAAGTAGATATCCTAAGCTCAAGGAATCAATATGATATAGTGTTGCCAGGTTGGTGTGTCTTGCTTAATTACATTTCTATGATTTAGCACTTTTTGAAATTTTGTTTCACTCATGCTTTATGTGGAGAGACTGTCCTTGTCTTGCTGTAATGAGAAGTGTATAAATAAGTATAATTGGATTCCTGCTCATGTCATGCAGAGCTTGGTCCCTATACTATGGATTTTACCGCGAGTGGTCGGTATATGGCAGCTGCTGGACGCAAGGGGCACCTGGCAATTGTAGACATGAAGAATATGAACCTAATTAAAGAAATTCAGGTATGATCTAGTCCACCAAGGTTGACATGGTTCTGACAGAGATGCTAACGTATGGATGAGCTGGTATATTCTGTTCGAGAAACTGAATACTGAGGTTCTACTCACTATCTCATGAAAATAAAAAAAGAATGTTATTTCGAAAATTAAAATAAGAAGTTGTTCTAGGGGTGACAACAATTTTGGTCTTTCTTTGCATCCTTATTCTATTTGTTAGCTATCTTAATATTATTTCAAATTTGTTGCTGGAGTGATTATGTTTATTTGTCTATCTAGTTTGATCACAAGATTGGACTGATTTAATAATTGATTATTGATTCCTCCAGGTTAGAGAAACAGTGCGTGATGTGGTCTTCTTGCACAATGAGTTGTTCTTTGCTGCAGCTCAAAAAAAGTGTGGCTTTTGCTTCTCTCTTGTTGTTTAGAATTTCAATCTGTTATGAATCATCTAATTATTTTATGCCTTAGTTTCAACATTGTGGACTTGCATTTCCAAGGTTCTGTAGTGCATATTCACACATCAGTATCAGTAAAGAAAATAATATTAGCAGGCCATCATGTAGCTTTGTTTGAATGACACAGCTAAGAGTTTTAAATTATGGCAGGTATCCCTATATTTATAATCGAGATGGCACTGAACTTCACTGTTTAAAGGTCAGTTACTGTACTTGATTGATTTGATTTTATGGCCTGTGAAATGGCTCTTTGAAATTTGAGTACCTAAGCTTTCTTCCAATTTTGTATTATGACGATTAAGAAATATTTAGGTTTTATGTTGCTTCAGTTTGCCCAGAAAACAAAAGTAGGGTTACTTCTTGTTCCAACTTCCAGAAAAAGGAGCATATAAAATTTTACCTTGGTGGAATCTGTCAATGCATTTTAACTAGTGTTCATGGTAAAATATGGACAGTGCATCTGTTTAAAGATCTCGGTTGGGTTTTATGTAGATTATATATATATTTCATCTGTGTCTTTCTGCTTGTTCTACCGTATTGATTAATATGCACAGGTATTTGAACTCTGGAGTGGATGTGTAAGCAAGGCTTCAACATATGTATTTGAACTCTAGCATGCGTTCCTTAATCAAGATTGGGTTTTAGTTAAAAGATCTGTCACATGGTTCCAAACACAAAACATACATGAAGCACATTTCAAGTTAAATTCTTGCTCATTTCTATCTTGTCTGGTATTTCCAAATAAGGGAAATCTATCACAGAACTTCTCCAACACTAAAAGCTTCAGAATTATAATGCATGCGGTTCTCGATACTTGTGCAACTCACTTCGCTCCAGCCATATTCTGACACAGGCTGGAGTCTGTGGCCATTGTATTGTTACTTTATCTGTGAAAGATACATTAATGTGGAATTAAATATGCCTTTTAAATCTTGTAGGAACATGGTGCAGTGCTGAAACTTCAGTTTTTAAGAAACCACTTCCTCTTGGCATCTATAAACAAATCTGGGCATCTCCATTATCAGGATGTTACAATGGGTGAGATGGTAGGTAATTTTCGGACGGGTTTAGGCCGTTCTGATGTGATGCAGGTGAATCCCTTCAATGGAGTTATTGCTTTGGGCCATTCCAGTGGTACAGTATCCATGTGGAAGCCCACTACCTCTGCTCCCCTCATCAAGATGCTATCTCATCAAGGACCTATATCAGCATTGGCATTCCATCCTAACGGCCATCTCATGGCCACATCTGGCAAAGAACGGAAAATTAAGATTTGGGACCTGAGGAAATTTGAGGTCCTTCAAACCTTACCAGGCCACGCAAAGACTTTGGATTTCAGCCAGAAAGGTTTGCTTGCTAGTGGAACTGGATCATTTGTACAGATTTTTGGAGATTTGTCTGGATCTCAGAATTATAGCAGATATATGGGTCATTCCATGGCAAAAGGTTACCAAATAGGAGAAGTTTTGTTTAGACCATATGAAGACGTACTAGGGATAGGGCATTCCACAGGTTGGTCTAGTATTCTTATTCCAGGATCAGGTGAACCCAACTTTGATTCCTGGGTGGCAAACCCATTCGAAACATCTAAACAAAGGAGAGAGAAGGAAGTTCGCACTCTTCTTGACAAGCTTCCACCCGAAACAATCATGCTGGACCCATCTAAGATTGGTACAGTGAGGCAAGCGAGGAAGAAAGAGAAGCCAACAAAGGAGGAGAGAGAGGCTGAAATGGAAGCTGCTGTCGAAGATGTTAAGAGTATTACTATGAAGAAGAAAACAAAGGGGAGGAATAAGCCAAGTAAAAAAGCCAAGAAGAAGCAGGAACTTGTTGTGAAAGCCAAGAGGCCATTCTTGGAGCAACAAATGAAAGAACAAGCCTTGTCCAAAAAGAAGCAGAAGACAAGGGAGGACGTTGAATTACCGTCGTCGTTGCAACGATTCGCACGTAAGAAAACGACATGAGTAATTGTTTAGTTGCCATTTTTGGAGATACTGTTTTTGTATTCCTTTTACCCCTCAATTTTGTGTTAACCCAATCGGAAAAAAATGTATCATGAAATTAAGTTTATTCATCTTGCTGTTAGAGATGGTGAGCCCCTAGAAGAATGCATTCATTTTCTGTCTTTCCCTTAAGCTATTGAGGAGTGCTAGTGACGTTAATAAAATATATATTTTATTTGATTCAAAAGAAACAGTGTCGGAAGAGAGACACGGCAGTCAAAGACACATAAATAAGGAAAAGGTTATGAAGTTGGTAAGTGTTAGTTTCACTAAGCTGGAAATGGGAACATATCCAGTTGAAGTGTTATATTCATGGAGCTTGAATTGGCATCATATCTGAGTCACCCGCTGTCGTACAATTACAATCATGGCTACAGAGTAGTGATGAATTGAACCCTCACACTCAGCTCCGTCAACTTGGCCGACATATTTACTAACTGAAGATTCCATTTCTTTCAAAACTTTTTACTACATAAAGTAAAAAAAAAAATATATATATATATTTATTTTAATCTAAACCTAATCCAAGTAAAGTAAAATGCTCCCTCCACCAGTACCCAAATTCCGTAAAAATGAGGAATCTTTTTTAAATTTTAAAAGCCTGCCTTCATTCCACTAAATAATAAACTTAGTTATGTGATTTGTAAATTGTCGAAATAAATTTTCAGAATTCGAATATAATCAAAATCTTAAGTTATATCTTAATATTTTTAATAGAATATTTAAAAATTGTTCTGAATAAATAATTACAAAAAAAAAAAACTTATGAAATCATTTTCAAATTTCATACTAGTTTCAAAATTGTATGCAAAATCTGTTTTAAAAAATATTTTAATTCATTTCTATCAAACTTATTTTTATAAGTTTAATTAATTAAAATTCTAAATAAAAATACCCCTATTATTTTCTATAATCTATAACGTTTGTTTAGTAGCATTTAATAATATTTATAAAAAAAATTGTAATTAAGGCATATGTAAATTTCAAAGAAATCATATGATAAAAAAATAAAAAATAACTAGAACTTTTCATGACTCCACCAATTAAACTAGAACAAAACACTTGACACTTAACACCTTAAACTCAACTGAGCTTTCACTTCATGCATAATCATCATCTCTCTCTTAACATGAGCCTCTCATCCTCAACTCACCTTCCCTCGTTCCCTAATCCAATTATTCTCCGCCACCACCACCACCGGCGCCACCACCTACACGCGCCTGCCACCAACCGTCCGTCTCTCTCTCTTTCACCTACTGCCTTAACTTTCCCACGCAGTGATTTCCTCCTCCTCTATCCTCACCGCTCCTACTGGGCCCGCCCCACGTGTGGAGCCGCCGCCGGTATCGGCGACTTGTTGCATGACGCTGGAGCCACTACGATTGTACTCGCCGGTGCTTACGGTCTTGTTCTCGGTTTCGATACTCTCACTCAACGAAACGTCGTCCAACAGGTGTCTCTCTCTTTTAGCATTATCTTCTTGTCTTTTGTTTTTAAATTTTTTGGTGCTGGGTCGGTAACCATACTGGTTTTGCATTAAAGGATGAGCTTTTAGAGTTGTTGCACTAGAGTGTGCTCCGTGAGAGAGCGCGGTTTTTGAGGCGGTTTTATTTTTTCTTAATCCAAGGGCTAAGCTGGGCTGGCAATGTTACTGGCCCAGCACTCTAGTTCTGCCTGCCCTCTGTATAATTTTGGTGAGTTATTATGTTACCGTCCACTGTAGAGATGTTAGCGGCAGGGAATAATCCAATCGAAACTGATTTCAATCCAACGGTTGGAAGTGGCCCGTTAATGTTGCTGTAAAAGATCAATTTTTCTGTTTTGCGCTTACTGTGTTTGTTGGAGTTTTTGGATGGATATTTCAATAGTTGCCATATTACTGATTGATAATGGATTAGGAATTTAGGATCTATAAATATTTACTATAATGGGCACTGGCTGGCAATGTTACCGGGCCAGTTTAAACCGTGGATGGATGGATAGTCAATGGGGCTACGGTCAATTGTTGAACATGTAGCTCTTACTTCAACTGGTGTGGTAAGGTTACTTGGTGAGTAGGAAGCTAAATGCTACAATACCCGGAGTGAGACTCCCAGTAATGTTATTAGATCAATACTATATAGGCTTCCTATACAATCTATATCTATGGAAAGAGAACTAAAGTAACCGCCCAATAATGTAGAAGGACCACATTGATAAATGCGTACCTGTAATGTACAGATCATGTTTGTTACCCGGTGCCAGGATTTTTTTTGTGGGGACCAGACTAGGGGGGTTAAATTCGTGGGGCGAATCTTTAGTTCAAAAACTGGGGTGCCAAAGGAATTACTGAATTTATAGCGACTAAATTGATAGTCTTTTATACAAGCAATACTTGTTACATGCTAGATATTCATGTTATTGACATTCTATGTTTATTAAAAGTCATCCAAATGAGTAAGACAATATTTCATTTTTTCGTTAGATGTTGGATGTCATCAAATTGATCTAGCATGTTATGAATCCAAATTTAACGTTTGGAAATCTTGATCTTTTCCAGTAATGTTCTATTATGTGTTTGGACATGCATATGTATGCATGTTGGTAAAAAATAATGGATTAGAATGGCTGAAGTAGTGAACTTTTAGTAGTTCTGTTTTCTGAATGCATTTTGTTTTTGTTTTCTTGAAGCTATGTTGTTAAAAATAGTATGAAATGTTTGTGTTGCAAGTGCTTTTTTCCGGGAATTGGAAATTTTTTTTTTTTTTTTTGTCAGCCCGCAATCACTTCAATTCTTGAGCATCTAAGAGATTTTTTTTTGTTTAATGATTGGAACAGAGTTTGAGCCGAAAATTGGTTCATATACTGTCAGGGTTGCTATTCATGGTTTCGTTGCCAATTTTCAGGTATCTTTCGATGATCTATCAAGGTCGATTTGTGTATGTATCCTAACTACTTCAGTTTATTTTTTTAATACTAGCATAGCACGTCAACGGGGGCTCGCTATTTTGCCTCTTTGGTACCTCTTGTAAATTGCTTCAGACTTCTCGTTCATGGCCTCTCATTGGTTAGGAATGAAGGACTCATAAAATCTGTTACCCGAGAAGGGAACCCAGAGTAATTTTCTTATCACTTATATCATCAAACTGTTTAGATCTTTTCTCTTTGAAATATGCAATTGATGCTGTTTTTGATCTAGCTTGAATGTTCTCTAACAGGGAGTTGCTTAAGGGGCCTTTATATTACGTTCTGATGTTAATTCTCTGTGCTGTCCTCTTTTGGCGCGACTCTCCAGTCGGGGTGATCTCAGTGTCAATGATGTGTGCCGGGGATGGTAACTTCTTTACTTACTCCCAAGATGGCTCTCTTCTCTCGGTTATTTATTTTTGGTGTGATGATTTATAGGTGTTGCCGACATCATGGGAAGAAAATTTGGATCCGCAAAGATCTTCTATAATAAAAAGAAGAGTTGGGCTGGTAGTATATCCATGTTTGTTTTCGGGTTCTTTGCTTCTGTTGGGTGCGTTCCAAACTTAATGATTTATTTTTTGCTCACTCTAGTTGATTTTCGACACTGACATAAAATTGTACTTACAATATAGGATGCTGTACTACTACTCAGTTTTGGGATATTTCCAACTGGATTGGGAATCGACGATGCAAAGAGTAGCTTTAGTCTCATTGGTTGCAACCATCATTGAGTCCTTACCGATAACAGATGTATTAGATGACAACATATCTGTTCCTTTGGCGAGCATGGTGGCATCATATTTGAGTTTTGGTTAGCTTGTAGCAAATGTTCTCTTTCACTGCCAACATTTTTTTTTTTTTTTGGTTTTCTTTTAGTCCATGAATTAAAACCCAGTAGTCATAATGTATTCTACGAACGAATCCCTCGTTGTAAATTGTCCGAAGCGTCTTGCAAATCATTGTTTCGGTGTCAATACACAGAAACTTGTTAAAACTGGTTAAAATGCTCCCTTTTGGGTTTATTTAGTTTACAGATTTATTGTATTGATTTTGAATTCATGGACCAACTGCTTGTGTTTAGTCGTTAAATTTCTGTGATGTGAAGGGTTTACACTAACTCCAACAGAAAAATGGGATTCTAATGTTTAAAATTCATCTATATACTGCAACAACTTTTTTTTCTCGATATTATTTGGATCAAATGTTGGATGGTCGTTCACTTCAGGGCTTTCGGAGATTAATTGAGGTATGTACAAGCCGGTCTGAACACTCTTGGTCACCGAAAAAAAAAAAGAAAAATGTTGGATGATTTATAATTTTATTAATTAAATACAATCCATTACTGAATTAGATTGAATCCAACATATGATCGATTTTATTATATCAAGGGTTTAAGACCAAGTTCGAATGTGACACTAATGTATTTTATTTATTGGATAATGAAGTTATAATAAATTGGTAGTAAATTGTAATGTTTTGTAAGTTGAAATGCAGAGTTGCACATGTAGATAAATCGGTATAACTATCCCCCGGAATTCAAGCTTCTCCATAAGGAAAACAAACTGAAGATTAATGAAAAGATTACCATCCTTACTAACAACAAATCTTCCATCACAACCACAGAAATACAGCCAGAGAGGAAAACTGAGAGATTTTCAAGGAAAATTAATTAAGAAGAATTACAAGAAAAAAAAAATAAAAAAATTAAGGCCTAATGGCAGCTTCTCACCTTTCTTTTTTCTCTCTTGAAACTGCCTGCAAATCACAATCATTTCAATCTTCCCAAAACTCACCATTTTCACTCATCTTGTCACCCACTTAACATTAAATCCTTCTTTGGCCTGCATTATTAAATAATAATGGCAGCTGCCAAGACAATTGAGTGCCCTGAAGACCCTTTTAATCCTCTTATAACATCTATTGTTCAGATCTCATGTATGCTTGTTATTGCTCATCTTTTTCACCTCTTCTTCAAGCCTTTAGGCCAGCCAGGACCCGTCTCGCAAATCCTTGTAAGCATTTTGTTTTTATATTAGTTTCGGATTCGAATATAAAAACGTTTTTGAAAAACATGTTGGTAATGAGTGTGTCCTGACATATATGTGATGTTGTTTTTGTGTGTTTTGTTGCATCAGGCAGGACTAGTTCTGAGTCCCACATTATTGTCGCGAATCAACAAAATTCGACAATTCTTTCTGCAGGATGCTTCTGCATTGTACTATCGATTTTTTGCCTTTGTAAGTCGCATCCTTTTTATGTTCTTGATTGGTCTTGGCTTGGATATTCCTTATATGAGACTGAATTTGCGTGTGGCGAGCACCATTTCCCTTGGTGCTTTTGTTATGAGCATAATTTTTGGAGGTTCTATATCTTGGTTCCTTATAGATGGAGTAGGGGTTACTACCAACAGGACCTCATTCGTTCTTGTTGTTATGATACTTCTGGCAAACACAGCCTCTCCTGTGGCGATTCGTTTGATCGACGAGTTAAAATTCGACACTTCAGATATTGGAAGATTGGCGATGGCTTCTTCTGTGATCAGTGAAATGTCATGTGTATTGGTTTATTCGACTTATCTCGCGGTTTCTTCCTGGGTTATGTTTCGATATGCATTGTACTGCATTCTTTTAACTGTGGGACTTGTTTATCTCAACAAGCAATTGGCAATGTGGTTTGCGAAATGGAATAGGAACTCAAAATATGTATCGAATGCTCAGGTTGTAGCGATTTTGGCGCTTCTGGTGGGAGTTTCTATAGGTGCAGAATCTTTTGGTTATAACAGTACAATGACAGGATTTCTCATGGGGATGATGTTTCCAAGGCAAGGCAAAACAACCAGGACTTTGTTTAAAAAACTCACTTACTCTGTTCATAACTTCTTGCTTCCAATTTACTTCGGCTACATGGGGTTCAATTTCGATACACGCGATCTAAATACTGTTAAAAACATCTCTGCTGTTATTTTCTTGATCTTGTTCAGCTTTGGGACCAAGATTATTGGCACAATGGCTGCCTGCTATCACCTCAAGATTCCAATGTTGAAAGGACTAGTTCTGGCTTTGATTCTCAATTTGAAAGGCAATTTCGAACTTCTACTCATCGATGGAGAAATCGATTCTTTGGTAAGTTTTTTCTTGGCCTAATGCTTATTGTTGCACAAATTTATTGGAATTCAGTTAATGACTATTGACATTAGAAGATATCCTAAATTTCTGGAACTTGATATAATATTTTCTTCATAACACTTGTTCTGAATCTCGACTAAATCATTAAGAAAACACAGATAACTTTGAGCATAAAGAAAATGCGGCTAGTTCTCTAATGCAAACGTCCTGATGTTGGAAATATCAGTGAAAATGAATGTCTATACTAATTATCTATGTTTTGTTGCAGACTTGGTGGAGTGGTAAAATTCACCGTTTGCTTTTCCTGGTAGTGGTGGTTAATACACTCATCTCAGGGCCAGCAGTAGCATATATATTGAAAAGAAGGGAAAGATATTTTGCTCACATCAATACTGCGGTGGAATCACTTGAAGCAGAAAGTGAACTCAGATTGCTTGCTTGTGCATACGAGCCACGCCATGCTTCTGGACACCTTGTACTTACTGCAGCCATGGGGAAATCCGTTAACCCTTACTTGATGCACCTGGTGGAGCTCCCCAAGAAACGCCGCAAAACTCAGTTGATGTACAACCAGCTTGAAGATGGCGGGCAGTTCAGTGATGAGGAAGAATATGGTGGCAACGATGTGCTCGAGATCAATGATGCTGTTGATGCCTTTACCTTGCAGACCAATAGGAAAGTCCATCAAATAAAAGTTGTTAATTCTTTTGCAAACATGTATGAAGATGTATGCACCGGAGCTGAGGACTTGCGTGTGTCGATAATTTTCCTGCCATTTCATAAGCATCAGCGCATTGATAAGATCCTCGAGAATAGCAAGGAAGGGTACAGGACTACTAATCAGAAGATTCTTCGCCATGCTCCATGCTCAGTCGGATTGCTTGTGGATCGAAGCCAAACTGGATTTCAGCAACCAATTGGCTCTGAAAGTGTGCAACATGTAGCAATGTTGTTTTTTGGTGGCTCTGATGATCGTGAGGCCTTGTCGTGTAGCAAAAGGATTGCTAGAAACGCTCATATCAATTTAACTGTCATCAGATTTCTGCCTTCAGAATCACAAAGAGTACAGCTTGCTGATGCATCCTCAAGAGATGGAATGCTCATGATGTCCTTAGCAAGAAATGAGACTGAAGTTGCTAAAGACGACACCTTCATTGAGGACTTTCGACTCAGGTAATTATCCTCAAACACATTTTAACTATATACTTCTGCATATAAGGTCTTAGCATTAAAAAGTTGTCCCAGTATGTGCCAAGCCAAGTACTATTATTAGTCGAATAATATATTATTGAGTCGATAACATAATAATCCCTCGAAAACATACTTCTCATTTCTAGTTATTGACACTGCAATTTTTTTTTTTTTTTTTTTTTCAGGTATGTGACAACAGGTGAAGTTGGATACATAGAGAAGTATGTTAGCAATGGAGCAGAAACAGTGCAGACACTAAGGGACATTGGGGAGACAATGGAGTATTCATTATATATAGTTGGGAAGGGTGGCGGGAGAGGGCGGTCACCGATGACAACAGGGATGAGTGACTGGGAGGAGTGCCCGGAACTTGGGACGCTTGGAGATCTATTGGCATCTTCAGATTTTGACCTGAAAAGTTCAATTTTGATCATTCAACGACATAGGCAATATTCTAACAAAGACATAGTAGTTGATGGTTAGTTTTAATGAATATTTACTTACCGTATGTATGTGTGTATGTTTGTATGTATACAGTAACAAAAGTTGATTAGATCTCAGAAACAAAGTGGCCAGAGATTCTAGTTTGTCTCAATCTGATTTTTTGGGAATGCAGGGTCACTAAAAAATTAAACAGAAAGAACAAGAGAAGTAATGGTTCCAAACACAAAATTTTACATAATTTTTAGTAGCTTTTTTTCTTCAGAATAACAAGAGAATCAGTATCTAATTTGAAACAACTATAAAGCGTTGTCCATCAGCCTTCTGCTACCATTTTGTTGAACTTGTCTATATCAGATTGTGAATCCTTTGATGATCCTACTCACTTGATTTTTGCAGCCACCTTTATAGATCTGTGTTGACTCCAAACTTCATAATTTTCCAGAGGCAGAGGAAAATGGTTGATTGCTATACAAATATTCAGCACTCATTCAGTAGGACAATTGAAGCCTATCCCAAGCTTCAAGTTTGCATGACGAGCTTTCTCATTAGTAAGGATGGCAACGAACCGGGGATCGCCATCCCCCTTCTTGAATTGAAATTGAATCCCTGTCCTCGGAAGCGGGGATCGGGCCGGGGATTCCCTGAAATTAAAACCATTCCCCACTCCAGCCCGAATTCCGTTTTATTTATTTTTATTTGTAAATAAATTATATTCAGTTTTAATAATATAAAATTATGGACATTAATCACTTATATTATTTTTACAAACAAAGATCTAAACAAAAAAACACAAATTTTGGTAACCTGTAATAAAATTAAATATGTTTTTTGTTGGTTGTATCATCCAGTCTTTTTGCATTTTGATCAATTGATCTTTATTTATATTGTAATCCTTTTAGAAGAGAGCACAACATAAAAAACATTGTCTCACTATAGCGGACAAATCATTATAACTTGGCAATAGAGGAGGAAGACACTAATAAGGATGGCCATTGGGGCTCTTATCCAGTCGATAATTCTAAGACCCAAGAGATTAGTTGAGGTACGCACTGTGATAATAGTTGGCAGTTATGGTATTTCAAAATACCAATTTTAATTGATTTTTGGACTATTACGTTCTAAAAGTAATTGAATTCTTGGACTGTTATGCTATTAAAAGAGTAATTGAATTCTTGGACTGTTATGCTATTAAAAGCAATTGAATTGCTTCGGTTACTGCAAGAATGAATTAAGGGAAAACGGGCAGATTTTGAAGTATAAAAAAGAGTGTGTTTCTCATTTGAAAAATACAATTTAACT